GAGACAACTCTTCACAAGAGACCACATGACACAGAAATTAACAACTGTAGCCTGTAGGTCACTGTACGGCCTTCAACAATGAGCAAAACCCATACCGCATAGTCAGCTATAAAAGGCCCCGAAATGACAAATGAGAAAACTAACGGCCCAATTTATGTACAAAATAATGAACGCATAACAAATATGATACACAGAAACAAACGACAATCACTGAATTACAGGCTCCTGACTTGTGACAGGCCATACAGAATGTGGCGGGGTTAAACATGTTAACGAGCGCCCAACCCTCCCCTAACCTGGGACAGTGGTGTTACAGTACAACATAAGAACACAGATCTAGAGTGGACGTGGCAGGGTACTTATACATACCCACAACAAAAAGACACGAAGTACAGATCTGAGAGTACTCGCAGTTACTGACAGCTAGTTCAAAGCCAATAACAACTAATAAAAAAAATCATGCATCTAAGACTAAAATATCAATTAGTACACATCCAACATCAATGGATTTAGGTAAAGACGTCATTAACAGTCGGAGAAAAACATGACCTTGTGCAATGCCAAGATACAGGTATCGACAGATTGTAGAGCAATGAATGTGTATATGTATATAAAAATAATATTTAGTTAGTTTTTAATTTACTGATAACAAAATCAATATTAATACCAATCAAAACAATATTCAATATTTAAAGGATCGATAAGTTTTCCCGGATCGTATCTAAATTTGCGGGCTGGATAAACAACATCTCCGTAAAAATGACTATGTGTTATCCCGTTTGAAATAAGTTTTCTACGGGTACAACCAAACTTCAAAACCAAATCTTTATATATATGGAAGAATTTAGTAAAGGTTTTAAGTATTTTGTGGTAACGAAATCCCTGACTTAATAATTTACCAGTTATACATAGATTACGTTCATTGAAATCCAAAACGTCACAACAGACACGGGCATAGCGAACGAGTTGTGATATACACCGTTAGATGGTGCCAAAGGAACATCACCGTCCAAAAAAGGAAAATTAACAACAGAGAACGAAAAATCGTCGTTTTGTCGTAAATTTTAGTGTAGAGTTTCCCGTGTAAAAATGAAATATCTAAATCTAGGAAAGGACAGTTATTACCGTTTATATTTGATATATTTAAAGTAAGTTCCTTTGGGTAAATGTCGGCAGTATATTTAGTAAATTCTAGATTATTCAACGAAAAAGTATCATAAAGATAACGGTAAGTGTTGTTGAATTTATCAGTTAAATGCAATTTAAACGGATCTTTACTGAGTTTGGTCATAAACTGTGATTTATAACAGTACAAGAACAAGTCTGCTATTAAAAGGGCGCAATTGGTGCCAATAGGAATTTAACCTGTCGATAAACTTCATTGCCGAAACGTACATAAATATTATCAAGGAGAAAATTGACAGCTTCAATCATCTCATCACACCTCCAGTAGGTATATCTAGCATATTTACCTTAAGTTTCTCATTGGAGAAGAAGGCTTTAAATGAGTTATAGCAAACATATTTGCATTCAGATTTACCAAACGATCATTTAATTAAATAGAAAAATTTTTGTTTGACAAGATTGTGGAAGTGTAGTGTAAAGAGTTGAAAAGTCAAAACTGTCAACAGAATAAAAAAGGACCATCAAAAGCACGTAATTTATCTAAAACATCCAAAGAATTTTTTACACTCCAAAAATAGTTTATTCCACTATTTTTATATGTTTTATTACAAAAGTTAATGATAAGTTCTTTAATAGTAGTTAATTAAGGAACTAGTTAAAAGCACTGAAAGTTTAGTTGTAGAACACTTACTAGAGGCCGAGATGAAACGATATTTTACTGGTTTTTTGTGTAGTTTAGGTAACCAATACAAAGTAGGGACCTTCAAATATTCAGGAGAGGCATTAAGCTGTGATGTGGTTATGATATGATTGTTTACTATGACTCTCTGTGGAGCGCACGGACTTGAATGTAGAAGAATTTAAAATTTCATTCTTAAGAACGTCCGTCTAATATTTACGGCATACCACCGCCACATTGTTGGCTGCTTTGCCGGTACAAACACAAACCGCTTTGAAAGTACTTGAAGTTTGTTTCTTGTTCTAGAAATAGGCGTATTATGTACTCTTTTGTTTATTTCTAAATTATTTTCAAAATGTGATATACGAATATCTACCACATTCATACATTTATTTAAATAAGAATCAATAGATTTTTTATCAGATTTTTCCCGTTTCCACCAATTTTTGCAATACGATGAAAGAACGTCTTTTGTGACCTGACGACAATGTTTCCAATCTATTGGAGATGGAGGACGATATTTTGGTCCTAAAAAGTTTTTAACCTCTCGGTCTTGAACGATATTGAGGTCCCACGTAATAACATGGCCATAGGGATCTTATCTAAAATTCGACGATTCACAGGCTCAAGTTAGAGTATTATTTTCTACACTGACGTCTGATTAAAAATTAAACTTCTGCTGGTTTTTTTTTTGTATGTTTACGAAATAAAAGGTGGTTCTGTGTTATCAAAATAGGGAGGTATACAGTTTTGAATGGTAGAGTCATTAAATATACTCGATAAGTCGATGAAATCAATACCTCTGTTCATATATCTAAATTTCAGAAAATGCCGTTTATGATCTTCAGGTTACTCGATACGCGGGAACAGCCTAAGGTGGCAGAAAGCTGTAATTATACGTGAATATTCATAGAGTGGGCTGAAAAACGAGATTGTGTCACACTCCTTGAAAATATCATGTAATTTACTTATTGGTATTTGACTCAGTTTACATAATAATTGATGCCTACTATTGTTTATAAATATAGGTATGAGATCATCAAGTGTATAATTTATACTATGTTTAATTCGCTGATTTCGATTGATAGGTTTTCCATGAGACCTATTATTACGTTGTCTTTTATCAACAATATTCATATCAATAGAAGAAGTTTTAGACATGTTCCCTTGTCCCAGTATATTGTCATTTAGACCCAGGGGATATGCTGTCTGCATGCGATTGCCCTTGTTGTTTCTGGATCGTTTCGAGTGGTTGGAATCTTATAAATTTAATATTGCGATTGTGTTTACCTAAATGTTGGTAAATTATACTTTTGAATTTCTTAGGTTTTCGGAAGTGGTATAAATGTTCCTGTGTTCGTTTAAAAAATTCCCGTCCTGTTTGTCCTACATATTGTATACCACACTTTGGATTTGTTCAAGTAACCAGATAAATGAGGCTTTGAGTTTTTCATGTAATTTCACAGGAAAAGGAAAGTGAAAAAGCTCTCCCGTTCACTGTTGACCTAACAATATTATTAGAAGATAATCTAGAGCAGGTTAATCATTTTCTGGCATTGCACGGGAATATTTGTGGCTATCCACGTGCATTTTTATCTAATAATCTGGATGATTAAAAGCATGCTTTCCAATCTTGTGTTTTAAATGATAAGAGTTAACGTCATCTCTTGACGGGATTAACAGAGGCAATCATCATTTGGGTGATCATTATCATTATGGAACATTTGTGTCACAGATGACGTAGGATAATTAGGTTCATTTGTCGTAATTACAATTCAGTCTGTTATGTTCCCAATTTAGGATTCCAGATGCAATATATCGTCGGATTTGAACTTAATGATCGCGACTACGGATTCCACTAGTGGAGCAGGCACTGATTAACTTGTTGACCAACAGACACACAAAGGCAACTATGAGCGAAAAATACATTGTCAAGTGCTTTTTTACTGGACTGGTTTTTATTATGAACCTCTTCTTGCAATTCCATTGATTGGGATAGTAGATTGAGAGTTTGGGACAGAAAAATAATAGTTTAATCTTGCCACCTAAAAAGTATGTTCCAAGTCGAGACCCATATTTGTTTGTCATTAACACCAATATGCTAACCCTTAGATGTCTCCAAACTATTATTGTATTGTAGACCTCGCTGTTAACTGCCTTTGAGCTAGACCATCACTTTGAGGCAGCTTTTAAAAAAGCTATTATTAATCATCTAGCTCTAAAGATAACAGTCCACAGGAAGAGTCATCCTACTCACTTTAAAAGCTGGCTCAACATGTTGGTCGAATTCATAGCAGGATTTTTTTATTAATATGGCATTAATCTCATCTTGATATGTATGTTATATCTGCAACTGGACTTTAATCTCCAATCCATCATCATCATCAATGCCTTTTTTATCTACATCTTCTTTAATTCATATTGAAAAAAAAACTGTTGACACCGAGATATGTCTCGCCTGTCGGCATAAAATTCAGAAAAAGACAATCTGATGGACAGCAACATTGCTAATTAATTCAATGTCGCTGGACCAACTAGTGGGTAGGGCCTTGAAATGGTTGACAAACTGAGATGTACAAACAGCAATGTAACTTTATAGAAAGTATTGTCTATTGTAAGTAGTTCCTATCAAACTAACTTAATCATAAAACTTAACTTTGAAAATTGATAATTGTTTGAAAGTCACTGGACCATAACCTAGGGGGCAGGGCCTTATAATAGTCGTCAAACTGATATGTACTGATAGTAATGAAACTTCATACAAAATATCATTGATCTATCACAAGTACTTCCTATCAAACTAATTTAAGCAGAAAACTTATCATTGAAAATGGCCAATTAAATTAAAGTCACTGGACCATGGCTAGGGGGCAAGGCCTCAAAATTGTTGTCAAACTGATATGTACTGATAGAAATGCATCTTCATAAAATATCAATGATCTATCACAAGTAGTTCCTTTCACACTAACTTAAGCAGAAAAACTTAACAATTGTTGACGCCGTCATCACTGTCACCAGAAAAGGCAATACCTATGTCTTGCTTTCAGCGACTTTCCTCGCAGGGAGACAAAAATTGGAATCAAGATTGAAATCTTACTCAAAAGAGAACATAATTTATTCATAAAGCATGTGTCTAAAGCTTGGGTGTTTATTTCTAACATATCTATATGCATGACTATAAATAATAAGATGTAAATGATAATCAATCAATATTTATTCTTTACACAATTATTTTTCAGTCTCATTTTCATTGTTTGACAACTGATCACTTTCTCTATTACAAAACAAAACAAGGAAGGTAAATTGGTTATTGCGACAAAAAGTATTATAACTTTTTTCACAAAAATAAATAAGAAAGCAATCTTTCGATCACATATAGTACACTTTTTCGCTATATCATTATGCAAACAACATGCTTGTACTGCTAAACTATTTGCAAAGCAAATGAATTAGAAGTATCATACCATGGAGATAATAATGGTTAAAATTGACAAGTTCTATAAATTTTGTTGGAATAATTTTTTTGCAACAATAATAGGAATCTTTTTTTTTTTAATAAATTAGAGCGTGATTTGTGAATTGAGAAGTAGGAAAATTTAAAATATCTTCTTTTTTTACATACAATATGATCACAATATTGGAGAGAAAAAAAATTCCAACATTTTAATGTCTGATGTTTATTCCAAAAATCTCCAGAATTTTACATGTAAATTTTAATGTAATTTGAATCATCTAATGGACTAAGATTGTCTTTCATGCGAAATAGACACAGACAATCGGTCAGTGGTCATTTGTCTGGCCACTTGAAGTTAATAAAAGAGGCACAAACAAGAAAATTTGTCTTTCGGATGTAACTTATTAATATTTGTGAATATTTGTAATTGGGATGTTTCCATTTTATAAACTTCAAAATTGAGTAAAAAATAAAAACTTTGTGGCGGAAAATTTTTCCTTTGCTTTCATTGTATCAAAATCCTTTTAATTTTTCTGTTTTCCATTTGAACAATAACAAATTAATCAGACATTTCTTAGCTGTAAAAGTTTCACATTTATATCCTAAGAAAGTATAAAATTCTAAGCATACTTAACGGTGAATCTAATTACAATTTCAGGCTTTAAGAAAATAACTTTTGGTAATCATGCTTTAAATTATAACAACAAAAAACATATAATGAGTATCAGTAGGAGAAAATAACTGGTCCTCTAAGTAATATTTTAAAATATTTGGAAATACTGAGTGTTATAATCAAACAATACACAGACTGCTAGAGAAGAACTCGTAGAAACATTGCAGCACATCAAAACATGATTTCATGACATATTTAAATAGTGAAAGACATCTGTTCCGAGTCAACTTCAAATTTTAACTGTGATGAGAGGAACTGCTTCCTTTATGATTTGTACAAGCATCTTTCATTCTATAGAACCAGGGTCCAATCTTTGTGTTGTTAAGGGTATCTTCAAAAGCCTGGCATCCTTCTATAGATGTCAGCACACCATACACAGACTAGAAATATATAGTCATTTTTAGATTATGTATTTACATAATATATGATAACACAAAAAAAAAGTACCAGTGTACATTACCACAATAAAAGTAGATGGGTACCAAGGGGTAAATACAAATTGTAAGTTAAAATTAAAGGACATACAAAACCAGGGTAAACAAGTATTCTGAGAGTATTGCATGGCAATACAGTCCCCTACCGGTTAAAAAATCATTGTACTGGAACAAAATGCTAACTTGATCTATAATTTGTCATGGTGTAAACTATATAACAAATATCAAGTCAATATCTTCAAGCATGACGAAAAAAAGTGTGGAAAACTGATTATTTAAGTGAATTTTCGAAGTCCAAGGACCATAACTCTGCACAAAATCATCACACCAGAACAAAATTTGAACTTGATCTGTAACTTGTCATGATAAAACAATACACTAATATCAAATCAATTTCTTTAAGCACGAAGAAAAAAAGTGTTGAAAACTGATTTGCCGGACTGACGGATGGACAGACAGACAGACAGACAGACGTGGTGCAAATCTAAAGTCCCCTTTGACTTCGTCAGTAGGGGAACTAAAAAAAACTAACAACTGTGAGAAGCATAACACATCTGAAAATCAAAATTTATGATTCTTAAAACCTAAAAATAACTGTTGACATATAGATATGTCCCTTGTTTGTAAAGTGATTGTTAAATGCAAATGTTGAAATTTAAATAGCAATATTCTAACATGTAAAATGTTCTAAGTCAATGAACCATCACTTAAGGTACACGGCCAAATAATTTCTGTGGAAATAAGATATGCAAATTTTAATACCACTGCATACCAAATATCATTGACTTATCATAGTGGGTCCACAATAAACTGCCCTTATCACAAACTTTACATGTACATCAGGGCATAACATGTACAAACTTTTTTAGCTGAAGTAAAGTATTCAGAAAGCACATTTTCTTCAATTCAAAACATATGCCTAATTAATTTCCACTGGACGTTAAGCTAACAACAATCCATCCATCCTATTTACATTCCTTTTAATTTTCAAGTGTTAATATTCTCTGAAATTATTTTTATGCTAACTTAATTGTAAATATTGCATTATATTTTATATACTTATGATCTAAATATTAACTGTTTATAAAATATCAATGAAATTGTAATAAATAAGTAAATTTTTATTAACACAGTTGTAGCATAGCGTTTTCTAGAAAGGGAGGGGTGTTCTAAATTTTAAGTAATTATTTATAAATAGGCTTAAAGTAAAAAGTATTTGACAATGTTGCAATGGCAGAAACCATCAAGGATTATCTTTCTTGTTTTCCAGTGTTGGGCTATTATTGGAGGCTTGGAAAGAACTTTATATTAATAATACATGGGTGATGGGTGTCCGAGCAACTTTTCATACTATAATGCACTATGATTCTCTGTTACAATTGTCTGGGTGGCGGGTGACGAAACAAATTGCCTCCCCCCCCCCCCCCCCCTAACCCCATATATATATAGATTTTTTTCTGGAATAGTCCTTAGGTATAATACTTTAGAAATGAATGTTAGACGACATTTGCACATAATTCCTTTGGAAACCATTAAAAGAGTCAATTTCATAATTGTAGTTACATTTTCGTGATAGGAAAATGTTAAACAATAAGAGTTAATATATCAAAGTACATGTATGTTTTAATGGAACAGCCCAAGCAAAAAGTTGCAGATGTCTATCTATTATTTTCCTACATATATAGAAAAAAAAATAAAAAAAACCTTTCACTCACATTACATACTAATGACTTTGTTTTGGTTTAAAAAAAACATATTGTATAAACCCACTAGTTAACTACCGGTATCTTTCAGGCATATCAAAGGAAAATATTTCTTCTTTAAAAAAATTTAATCCAATAATTTAATGAATCTTACCAGGTCTGCCAGATTTGGTTGATCTCCTCCTAAGAATTTCCTCTTCCCTACTGTTTTTGTCCATAAACGACACGAGTCATACAATGAGTCTCGTACTTCATCTTTCAGACCATATCTACAATGTATAAGTAATATAATACATTACTGCTATTTTGTGAATTTTTCCTTTGATCTTTTTTTGTGATAATTTTTTCATATCATATCATGCTACTCGCTTGTGATAGATAATTATCGTCAGAAACTAAGGGCTCATGTCATGTTGTCAATGTAAACATCAACAAAGTCAAAAGCAAAACAGCGATAAACAGATTATCAATGGTCTTTCAAACTCCTAAATGCTGCACCCTTAGTAAAGAAGTCATAGATACTAATTCTGAAGTCTTTGGTTCACTCAACCATATACTGAACTTATCTACATCCTGAGCAGGCAACCACAAGGCCATTGAGACAGTTCTTAGGGGATGAACGTGATCTCATAAACTGGTTAAGTGTGTTTTGGTAAGGATCAGGGAGTAAGTTAATATATCTTGTTGTGAAAAACTCACCAATCTGTCCATGCAAACTTAAAGTAGGGTAAGTAAATGAAACGAAACAATCATCCATGTTTAAAAGTACCATTTAAACTTCTTTATATGATAAAAAAAAATCGCCCATCTACCACTGAATCTCTCTGTAAGATTTAAAACAAATGTTTATATAATTATGTCTGCAAATGTTATGATTTCCATAAAAATATATGATACTTTTATTTATATAACTCTTATACACTTTATGAGGTATATTTTCATTTCAAACTATTCAATGTTCTTTAGTTTGGTGTCTGACTAATTATATATATATATAATCACTCTTGATAGTTTCTACTCAGTAAAAAAAAATGTTATCTGAAAATACTTGTTATTGAAATCTAATTATATAGTCTTATCTATATATTTTATTAGAATTGCAATGCATTAAATATATGTCTTAAAAATTTTGCTATTAAAAATGCATATGTCCTCCAAAAATTCATTAGGCACACTTTAGCTAATGATCACTTACATTTAACGTTATTCCACTTATCCACACATGAGTAACATAGAGGACTAGCCATTACTTTTGTTTTACAATAAAGCTCATAAGCAGAAAGTAGAATCCAATGATATAAGAAGATAATCAGTTGCATTCATAATGTTTACAAAATTAGTGATTCAAAACTAGGCTACCCATTGAACTGGTAGAAAAAGAAAAACAGAACAGGGGAACCTAAAAACAAGTAAAACATAAGGATTATTTGTATGTTCTTACTTTCTTTTGATGATTTTCCCCATCACCCACATAACAGATGCTCCTACATAGATAACAACTGTTCTCTCCCAACTACTGAAATTCTTCTCCCATTCACCAACTTTGTCAAAATGTCTGAATGTCTCCAAGGATTCGCTGGGTGTACGATAAACATTAGGAGACAGCATGTGAACAAGATCAGAATCTGTCCATCTTCTCCACTTCCTTTCCTCTCTGTTAAAAAAAAAGATAAAATTTTTGTTAATTTAATTTTTTTTGTAAGGTGAAAAATAACAACGTTTTTAAATTCTTAATCCAGTACTACAGAATGATAGCATTTAAAAACAAGCGTGCACATGCTGAAATGTCTCGACAACTTTACTGACCATTGATTTTATGTGGATAGTCCTAAATATAAAGCTTTACTACAAGTATAACAGAAACAAACTTAACCAGGAAAACTTAACATTGACCAATGAACAATGAAAATGAGGTCAAGGTCAAGGTCAGATGAACCAAGCCAGACAGACATGTACACCTTACAATCAATCTATGCATTAAATATTGTTGACCTATTACTTATAGTATCTAAGAAACAAACTTAACCATGAAACTTAACATTGACCAATGAAACAATAAAAATGAGGTCAAGGTCATATGATACCTGCCAGACAGACATATACACCTTACAATCATTCCATTCACCAAATATAGTTGACCTATTGCTTATAGTTAGAAAAACAGACCAAAACACAATAAAATGCTCCGCTGGGCGCAGCTTGATACGACCGCAGAGGTCGAACCCTGAACAGTTGGGGCAAGTATGGACACAACATTCAAGCTTGATACAGCACTGAATTTGGATTGTGATTAAATATTTGACACAGCAAAGGTTTCTGACACAGAATGAATGTGGTCTAAGAACTTAAAATTTTTTAATTTACCTATTCAGACCATTTCATTACTATTTACTTTTATATATAAATCAGAAATAACCAATTTAAAATGGAAAAATTTTAAAGAAAGAAAAGGAAAAAAAAATCCTCCCCCCCAAATTTTTTGAACCCCCTTATGATTCATCACCCCCAAAATCAATTCCAGCCTTCCCTTTGTGGTATGGTACCTTGCAGTACAATTTCAGTGAGATCCATACACTTGAACACAAGTTATTGTCTGGAAACTAGAAAAATGCTTATTTTTGGCCCCAAATTCCTAAACATTTTGGGCAATTACACCCAAACTAAATTCCAGCTTTCCCTTTTGATATATGGAACCTTGTAGTACAATTTCATAAAGATCCATAAACTTACACACAAGTTATTGTCAGGAAACTAGAAAAATGCTTGTTTTTTGCCCCTTTTTTAGCCCCTTATTCCTAAAATTTTGAGGCAATTACCCCCAAAATCAATCCCAGCATTCCCTTTGTGATATGGAACCTTGTGGTACAATGTCAGAGAGATCCATAAACTAACACACAAGTTATGTCTGGAAGTTGCAAAAATGCTTATTTTTGGCCCCTTTTTAGCTCCTAATTCCTTAACTGTTGGTACCATAACCCCCAAAATCAATCCCAACCTTCCTTTTGTGGTACTGAACCTTATGGTAAAATTTCATAGAGATCCATTCACTTAAACAAAAGTTAGAGTGCGAAAAACCAATGTGTCTTCGGTTGACGACGACGATGCCAACGTCATACTAATATACCACCGCAAAATTTTTTTGCGGCTGTATAAAAACTTAACACTGAGCAATGAACTGTGAAAATGAAGTCAAGGTCAAATAAAACCTGCAAGGCTGACATGTACATTGTAAAATATTTCCATACACCAAATATAGTTCACCTATTGCACATAGTATTAGAAAAAAAAGACCAAAACACAAAAAATTAACTTTGACCACTGAACCATGAAAATGAGATCAAGGTCAGATGACACCTGCCAGTTGGACATGTACACCTTACAATCATTCCATACACCAAATATAGTAGACCTATTGCTTATATTATCTGATATATGGACTTGACCCTGAAAACTTAATCTTGTTCACTGATCCATGAAATGAGGCTGAGGTCAGATGAAAACAGTCTGACAGGCATAAGGACCTTTCAAGGTACGCACATACTTAATACAGTTATCGTATTACAGTCAAACCTGGGTAAACCGGACTCTGAATAAACCAGTTTCCTGTTCATTCCAGCCGAAAATTGAAGTCCCATTTTTTTCTCTTCAAAGTCTTTGTAAAAATACCCTCTGTAAACCAGACCCTGTGTATTTCGAATTCCGGTCTAATTATACAGTCCCAATACTCTTAATTACATTAATTATTACCTATCAAAACAGGTTTGTTCAATTAATTTAACATGATAACAGTATTGATCGATATGCAATCAAAACATAAAATTGTTTATACAAGATGGTTTTTCAGGCTAAGGTGTTAAACTGCTGAGCTATTGAAACACTATTAAATTTGAATTAAAATAAAATAAAAGAAACGCCGAATCATATTGAACTTACGTTGTAACTATAATAAATTTTTCAAATAACGAAGTAAGAAATTTTAATACATCATGTTTTCAAAATGCTGGTTAACGGTTGTGAACCCCAAAACCAATGACCCTGATAACGAAGAAGTCTCAGATGACGACATTCCATTGTAGAGTTTAGAGGTATTGTACATTGTATGACAGTGTTTCGATCATGATGAAATTTCGTTTGATTAAATTCTTGCTTTTTAATCGACTATACCAACGTAGGAATTGAACGATGAAAGTAAAATGAAAATCTCGTTGAACAATTCAAACATCACGAGGATTCTGATGCAAATGAAAACAATAAACTGAGAGTGAAGGTAAAACTGACGAGTCGGAGACTGATGCTACCGAGGTTGATTTGACATACAAAGATATGTTAAAAAAAGTTAAAATATTATTTTTTTAAATTCGAAGGACAACCAATTTCTGAAATTTCTAAAGTCGGTGAACACTATGCCTTTAAACTACGATCATGCATGGTTAAGTGTTGAAAAGGCAGGGAACACGTGTAATGTTCATGTCGCAGTTTTTCACACAAATATTGACATTAAATAAATAGATTATTACGATATTTGTACCCGCTGTCCAAACCGGCCCTTTTTCATAGTCCCTTAGCCAGCCGGTTTATACAGGTTTTACTGTACTCATAATAAGAGAGAAATTAACATTACAAAAAATCTGAACTTTTTTTTCAAGTAGTCACTGAACCATGAAAATGAGGTCAAGGACAATGGACATATGACAGACAGAAACTTCATAACAAAAGGCATCTTTATATACAAAGTATGAAGCATCCAGGTCTGCCACCTTCTAAAATATAAAGCTTTTAAGTAGTAAGTTAATGCCGCCACCGCCGACGGCAGATCACTATGCCTATGTCAAGCTTTCTGCAACAGAAGTCGCAGCCTCAACAAAAAATCCATTTAAAAGATACATAAATATGTGACAAGACGCTGCATTACTCAATCGCACTTCTACTATCAACATTATGGTTATCTTTCACAAATAACTCTCATTTTGTTTGTCAAAATGACCCAAATGTATATTAGATATTCAATAAAGATATCAAAACTGCTCAAAAGAAAGCTCTCAAGTTTTTCATTTAAGGTACCAGTCTTGTATTACAACTCAAGTTTCCGGTGCATGTCAAAACATGGCGTGAAATAAAATAGTCCATTTTTTTCTGGATTTTTTTCTGGACTCAATTTTTTCTGTTTGATTAGAAGTTTATGCTGAGTTGAAACATATATTTAGATTTAAAAAAAATCTTGCATCTTTTTGGGGATATCAAACCAGGAAAGTGGAAGGATATCATGTTTATTGGAAGTGGTGCGGCCTAGTAAAAACAGCAAACAGAAAGTAGAAAAAAATTGTTTTGACTTCAACTATTTATTCGTCATGGCATGACCCACTTTTTTTTCGATTAAATCACAATTTCACATTACTACATACATGATATGCACATGAAAAAATTTTTCTATGTAGCATTTTATTTTAACATTTTTTCAAAGATCAGCAGTTTTGCATGTAAGCCTATGGAACAGTCAATTACAAGACTGCAACCTTAATTAAATGTTTAATTTCAAGCTCACTTGGATATATTGGTCAACTAATCTAATCAAAAATTAAAAGGAAAATAAATCTATCAACATTTGCCCTAAAAAGCAATGTAACTGCTGAAAAGTCAGTTCTAAAACCAGATATATTTCCCCAAAGTTAATGTAATGTTTAACTCTCCTAAGTATATATGTTAAAATGTTTTGTAGTGGTGATGATTTTTAACAGTGTCATCAAATAATATTTATAGATATAAATAATAAAACAAATATATTTTTCAATAGTCCAACACCAAAAAATTAAGTGAGCAAATTGTAAAATTGTCTTACTCATATTGTTCTTTGGTTCTGTTATCTGTAAGTTCAGCCTGCTGGTACATAAGAAAATATTTATTCTGATACTCAACAGTTTTCTTCCCTTTCTCATCTTGTCCTTCCAGTGCTGGGTAATATGAGGCTAACTTCTCCAAACTCTGTGATTTGTCCAGGAGATAGGATTGTAAAATACTTATTATCACAGTTGAATCATTTAGTTGCTGAAATCATAAAAAAAGAAAAAGAATAATTAGTTTAGAGGTAGCCATACTCATGATACTGTTGACCTCTGGTTGAATTGGTTTCGTACAATTACAGCTTACATCTCTAAACTAGAGGCTCTAAAGAGCCTGTGTCGCTCACCTTGATGTGCATATTAAACAAAGGACACAGATGGATTCATGACAAAATTGTGTTTTGGTGATGGTGATGTGTTTGTAGATCTTACTTTACTGAACATTCTTGCTCCTTACTATTATCTCTATCTATAATGAACTTGGCCCAGTAGTTACAGTGGAAAATATTTTGTAAAAACTTACAAAAATTTACAAAATTTATGAAAATTGTAAAAAATTGATTATAAAGGGCAATAACTCCTTAAGGGGTCAATTGACAATTTTGGTCATGTTGACTTATTTGTAGATCTTACTTTGCTGTACATTATTGCTGTTTACAGTTTATCTCTATCTATAATAATATTCAAGATAATAACCAAAAGCTGCAAAATTTTCTGAAAATTACCAATTCAGGGGCAGCAACCCAACAATGTGTTGCCTGATTGGTCTGAAAATTTCAGGGCAGATAGATCTTGACCTAATGAACAATTTTTTTTCTCTTCAGATTTGCTCTAAATGCTTTGGTTTCAGAGATATGAGCCAAAAACTGCATTTTACCCTATGTACTATTTTTTAGCCATGTCGGCCATCTTGGTTCGCGGGCAGGGTCATCGGACACATTTTTAAACTGGATACCCTAATGATGATTGTGGACAAGTTTGGTTAAATTTGTCTAAGTAGTTTCAGAGGAGAAGATTTTTGTAAAAGATTACAAAAATTTACGAAAAATGGTTAAAAACTATAAAGGGCAATAACTCTTTAAGGGGTCAACTGACCATTTTGGTCAAGTTGACTTATTTGTAGATCTTACTTTGCTGAACATTATAGATGTTTACAGTTTATCTCTATCTATAATAATATTCAAGATAATAACCAATAAAATGCTCCGCAGGGCGCAGCTTGATACGACCGCAGAGGTCGAACCCTGAACAGTTGGGGCAAGTATGGATACAACATTCAAGCTTGATACAGCTTTGCATTTGGATTGTGATTAAATATTTGACACAACATAGGTTTCTGACACAGAATGAATGTGGTCTAAGAACTTAAAAATTTTAAATTGGACATTCACCTATTATGGTCCAATATCCAAAATCTAAATACATGGTTAGATTCAGCATATCAAAGAACCCCAAGAATTCAATTTTTGATGAAATCAAACAAAGTTTAATTTTGGACCCTTTTGACCTCAATGTGGACAAAGTTGATAACGGGGCCCAAAAATCAAAAATCTAAATACATGGTTAGATTCAGCATATCAAAGAACCCCATATATTCAATTTTTGTTGAAATCAAACAAAGTTTAATTTTGGACCCCGATTTAGACCAACTTGAAAACTGGGCCCATATTCAAAAATCTAAATACATGTTTAGATTCAGCATATCAAAGAACCCTAAGAATTCAATTTCTGTTAAAATCAAACTAAGTTTAATTTTGGACCCTTTGGACCTTAATGTAGACCAATTTGAAAACGGAACCAAAAATTAAGAATCTAAATACATGGTTAGATTTGGCATATCAAAGAACCCCAATAATTCAATTTTTGATGAAATCAAACAAAGTTTAATTTTGGACCCTTTGGACCTCAATGTGGACCAATTAAAAAACGGGGCCCAAAATCCAAAAACTAAATACACGGTTAGATTCAGCATATTAAAGAACCCCAAGAATTCAAGAATAAAACCCCATTGAAATTGGTCAAGAAATAAGCAATTTATACAAAGTATCTTCTTTTGCACAATACTGTGCAATTAAATATTTCTTGCTATTGCGCAATACTGTACAATTGATAATTTCTTGCTATTGCGCAATATTGTGCTATTGGATATTTCTTGCTATTGCGCAATACTGTGCAATTGAAGATTTCTTGCTATTGCGCAATACTGTGCAATTGAAGATTTCTTGCTATTGTGCAATACCGTGCAATTGAAAATTTCTTGCTATTGCACAATACTTATTATATAATAATTTACACATCCTGTTTGGTGTGTATCTCCTACCATATCATTATTATTTGCTTTTAAATATAAATCAGAAATAACCAACTTAAAATGGAAAATTTTAAAAGAAAAAAAAAAGAAAAAAAAGGAAAAAAAAAAAAATCCCCCCCCAAATTTTTTGAACCCCCTTATGATTCATCACCCCCAAACTCAATCCCAGCCTTCCCTTTGTGGTATGGTACCTTGCAGTACAATTTCAGAAAGATCCATACACTTGAACACAAGTTATTGTCTGGAAACTAGAATAAAATGCTCCGCTGGGGCGCAGCTTGATACGACCGCAGAGGTCGAACCCTGAACAGTTGGGGCAAGTATGGACACAACATTCAAGCTTGATACAGCACTGAATTTGGATTGTAATTAAATATTTGACACAGCATAGGTTTCTCACACAGAATGAAAGTGGTCTAAGAACTTAAAATTTTTTAATTTACCCATTCAAACCATATCGTTATTATTTGCTTTTATATATACATCAGAAATAACCAATTTAAAATGGAAAATTTTAAAGAAAAAAACATACATGTGATGGACTGTGAAACTCAGATCAGGAGATTGGAAAATTTTGGTCAGGAGATTAGGACTCAGATCAGGAGGTTTTTTAATCAACATAAAGTTTGTCGTAAATGTAACTGTGTGCTGTAAAAATTGTCTTTTAAAGTGTGTTTTCTTCAACTTTCAATCCGAATGTATTATGTATTATGTTTATAGTACCCTTGTACTTATAAAGTTTCTTTATCTTAATATTCTACATGTTCAATCTAAGATTCTTTTTTTTTAGTATGTTCTTTAAATTTTTCAATTCATATCTTTTATATCATTATTCTATAGGACAAACTTTGCAATCAGATCATTTGTTTACCTATCTGCTTTTGCAGTTAGATTTTATTTGAATAATCAGAAACTCATTTAAAATTAGAACAGGGGTCATAGTTATTATATGAATTCAATTTAAGCCTTGAAAGAAAGTATAGAACCCTCAAATAATTTTCAAATTATTATTTTTTGATTTGTCCTAAGACATTTAAAATCATTTAATTACCATCCTTTTATGATTATTTGTTCAATTTATATTTTATTTATATTCTTTTAAAAATTTACATTATTTAAAGGAAAGTAACTTAAAACAGGATAAATCAGGGGAAGTAACCCAATAAATACACAAAGTTTTTATTACACAACGGCAGTTAGCCTGAGGTAAAAATCGTTGATTACCAGTATGTTTGACACCCAAGCTGACAAGTGAAGCCATATAATTATGCATGTTAATTGATTTACAGGTAAAATATAACTTCAGGTGATGTCAGTTACACCAGATGTCTGAGATGATATGTTGGGCAGATTTCATACACAGGATTTTTTTCTCTTCAACGCGAGGTCGGGAGGAGACCCCTGAAAACGGGATTATTGTACTCCCGTCGGGAGGTTTACATGTATGAAAAAAAGAAAAAAAAATCCCCCAAATTTTTTTGAACCCCCTTATGATTCATCACCCCATTGGCCCAAACTCAATCCCAGCTTTCCCTTTGTGGTATGGTACCTTGCAGTACAATTTCAGAGAGATCCATACACTTGAACACAAGTTATTGTCTTGAAACTAGAAAAATGCTTGTTTTTTGGCCCCTTTTTGGCCCCAAATTCCTAAACGTTTAGGGCAATTACCCCCAAACTCAAACCCAGCTTTCCCTTTGTGATATGGAACCTTGCAGTACAATTTCATAAAGATCCATACACTTACACACAAATTATTGTCCTGAAACTAGAAAAATGCTTGTTTTTTGCCCTTTTATGGCCCCTAATTACTAAAATTTTGAGGCAATTACCCCCAAAATCAATCCCAGCCTTCCCTTTGAGGTATGGTACCTTGCAGTACAATTTCAGAGAGATCCATACATTTGAACACAAGTTATTGTCTGGAAACTAGAAAAATGCTTATTTTTGGCCCCTTATTCCTAAACTTTTTGGGCAATTACCCCCAAACTCAATTCCAGCTTTCCCTTTGTGATATGGAACCTTGCAGTACAATTTCATAAAGATCCATACACTTACACACAAGTTATTGTCATGAAACTAGAAAAATGCTTGTTTTTCGCCCCTTTTTGGCCCCTAATTCCTAAAATATGGAGGCAATTACCCCCAAAATCAATCCCAGCATTCCCTTTGTGATATGGAACCTTGTGATACAATGTCAGAGAGATCCATACACTTACACACAAGTTATTGTCATGAAACTAGAAAAATGCTTGTTTTTTGCCCCTTTTTGGCCCCTTATTCCTAAAATTTGGAGGCAATTACCCCCAAAATCAATCCCAGCATTCCCTTTGTAATATGGAACCTTGTGGTACAATGTCAGAGAGATCCATACACTTACACACAAGTTATGTCTGGAAGTTACAAAAATGCTTATTTTTGGCCCCTTTTTGGCCCCCAATTCCTTAACTGTGGGTACCATAACCCCCAAAATCAATCCCCACCTTCCTTTTGTGGTATTGAACCTTATGGTAAAATTTCATTGAGATTCATTCACTTAAACTAAAGTTAGAGTGCGAAAACTTATGTGTATTCGGACGACGACGCTGGACGACGACGACGACGGACGATGACGACGACGACGACCACGACGACGCCAACGTCATACCAATATACGACCACAAAAATTTTTTTGCGGTCGTATAAAAATGTGTTTTTTGGCCCCTTTTTGGCCCCAAATTCCTAAACAATTAGGGCAATTAACCCCAAACTCAAACCCAGCTTTCCCTTTGTGATATGGAACCTTGTAGTACAATATCAGAAAGATCCATACACTTACACACAAGTTATTGTCCTGAAACTAGAAAAATGCTTGTTTTTTGCCCCTTTTTGGCCCCTAATTCCTAAAATATTGAGGCAATTACCCCCATCATCAATCCCAGCCTTCCCTTTGTGGTATGGTACCTTGCAGTACAATTTCAGAGAGATCCATACACTTGAACACAAGTTATTGTCTGGAAACTAGAAAAATGCTTATTTTTGGCCCCTTTTTGGCCCCCAATTCCTAAACGTTTCAGCAATTACCCCCAAACTCAATTCCAGCTTTTCCTTTGTGATATGGAACCTTGTAGTACAATTTCAGAAAGATCCATGCACTTACACACAAGTTATTGTCATGAAACTAGAAAAATGCTTGTTTTTTTGCCCCTTTTTTGGCCCCTAATTCCTAATATTTTGAGGCAATTACCCCCAAAATCAATCCCAGCATTCCTTTTGTGATATGGAACCTTGTGGTAAAATGTCAGAGAGATCCATACACTAACACACAAGTTATGTCTGGAAGTTACAAAAATGCTTATTTTTGGCCCCTTTTTGGCCCCTTATTCCTTTACTGTTGGTACCATAACCCCCAAAATCAATCCCAACCTTCCTTTTGTGGTATTGAACCTTGTGGTAAAATTTCATAGAGATCCATTCACTTAAACTAAAGTTAGAGTGCGAAAACCAATGTGTCTTCGGACGACGCCGGACGACGCCAGACAGATTTGCTCTAAATGCTTTGGTTTCAGAGATATAAGCCAAAATCTACATTTTACCCCTATGTTCTATTTTTAGCCATGGCGGCCATCTTGGTTGGTTGGCCGGGTCACCGGACACATTTTTTAAACTAGATACCCCAATAATGTTTGTGGCCAAGTTTGGTTTAATTTGGCCAAGTAGTTTCAGAGGAGAAGATTTTTGTAAAAGTTAATGACGACGGACGACGACGACGGACGACGGACGCCAAGTGATGAGAAAAGCTCACTTGGCCTCATTCTTATTCAAATACTGATCGCTTTTTGACTCAACAACTTTAATATAAGTGAAAGCAGAATGATCTTGGAATGTTGTATATTTTCTGAGAAAAATGCATTTAGACTTTGTGATATATATATTTTTCCTTGCAATTCCCAGTTTAATAAGTGAAATGCATTACTCACCAAGTTATGTAATTACACATGTAAAAGTATATTTTTAAAGATATTTCTCAGCATGTATTTTCAGTCATAAGACTTACAGTAATATATCTGATTGATTATTTTTGTTAAACATCCAATGGCAAGTATTTCATGCATTTTCAGAATACAGCATTGCAGATTAATTTATTCATGTACATACATGACTAAAGGGACATGTTTTCCTACTCATTTCTTATCAGTTATTATGTTCTATTTTGATATAATTCTAATTACTACAATTCATAACTATTTTCATGTCCTGTACAAATATTCAGAAGTAGTCAGTTATCAGTTCTTCAGTAAAACTTTCTTAAATTTTTTTGCTGATAAATTTAGCATGTTTAGCACATGTTTAGAAATTATTAATAACTAAGGCTCCAAATCCTTTGAGTAAAATTGACTATTATTTTTAGGTCCCTTTTGGTCATACAGCTCTTCATGTGTTTCAGACATTATACCTTGGCTTTTAGCATTCCTGGTGAAGGCAAATCCAGGAGAGCACCTTTGGTCACATAATATCAATAAAGTTTTTTTTTCATTTTCCATGCTTTATGACAAATACATGTATCTTTGTAAAGTTGAAGATCCTAAATGACATTGATGATCAGTCAATTGATTATTCCAAAATAAGAATAAATTTACATAAAATCAATTTAAGAACTTACTAAAAAGCCATTCTTTCCAACATCCTCACATACAAGGATTGGTACTTTCTTATAATCTGACCATTTTATCTGTTTTTTATTCACAGAGTTGACTTCAATGATGTCGTAGGAAAATCCATAGTAATCTAGGACTGACCTCAGTTTACAACAGAATGGACAGCTAGTAAACTGATACATTGTCAGCTTCAACCCATAGTCTGCTTCTGGGACTCTAACCTGTAGAAGAGAAACATGTACTCATATATAAACAAACATGTTATGTGTGTCAAGTCATACACCTTTTCTTTAGTTCTGCAGACCTGCAATGAAAGAAAACTTTCATAAAAGATTTATTGAATTGATATGTTTTCAGGATTGATAATTTTCAAGACTTTTTTTCATATAAATCTGTTTGACTCTGTCTTGTGAATATGTTCCCTTCTTTAAATTACTACACATATACATGATATATGTATGTACATTTATATCCATGTTCCATGATGATGTCATCAACAACAACAAAAATAGCACAATATATTAATACATTTTGTAACTAAACAAAAAAGAATTAGATGATGCTGATTGCATTGTTTTCCTTAAAATATATGCTGGCTGTGTCTACATTTTTGTAAAAGTTAACTGCCAAAAAAAACTAAAATTGAGAATGGAAATGGGGAATGTGTCAAAGAGACAACAACCTGACCAAATAGCAGAAAACAGCCAAAGGCCACCAATGGGTCTTCAACACAGCGAGAAAATCCCGCACCAGTTCACTAGTTCAGTGAAAATGGACGTCACACTAAACTCCAAAACAAATAAATGAACTAAAATTAAAAAAACATACAAGACTAACAATGCCAGAGGCTCCTGACTTGGGACAGGCGCAAAAATGCGGTAGGGTTAAACATGTTTTGTGAGATTTCAACCCTCCCCCTATACCTCTAGCCTATGTAGAAAAAATAAACACACAGCAATACGCACAGTAAAAGTCAGTTCAAAAGAAGTCCAAGTCTGATGTCAGAAATTCAGAATAGGTAATAGAAGAAACTAAGCAAAATGACAATGATACATAAATTAACAAAGGACTACTAGCAGTAACTGACATGCCAGCTCCAGACATCAATTAAACTGATTGAAAGATTATGTCTTCATCATATGAAAATCAAGCACAATCCCTCCAGTTAGCATGGTTAGGGGTCTAGTATCATACCATCATAAAATATATGAGAACAACATAACCTGTATCATGCCAACAACTGGTTTTAAAATAAATGTGTCCATTTGTAAGTAAAAACTGAATTTTACAGTCATGTCAGTTTGTTCTTTTGTTTTGCTTTTGCACCAATGTACCGTGTTTCTGAAGAGTTGAGCACTCACAAACCTAGCCACATTCTATATGTACCTGTCCCAAATCATGAGCCTGTAATTCAGTGGTTGACATAAGTAGCTGTTTGTCATATTTGTTTTTTTCATTTATGTGCTACAAATGATAAGTCAAACTCAAAAGACATTGAGTGATGTGACAGACCACAGAACACATGTCATTTTTACTCATACACATTCCTAACCTTGGCAAATCTTAGCTTTTTACCTACATTTGACCTGCTTGGATTATGAGTCCCAGAATTTTTAAATTACTACACATACAATGACATAAAAAAAAATTAATATAGTAATGACCTCAAAATTGTTAACTTTTTTTTTCTAATTTATTTCAGTTTACCGCATTTGTGCAGAAATCTCTTTCTTTCTCAGTCAGGGGAATTACTTAAATGAATGATTTCTAAATCACAGATTCAAGTAACATTTTGTCCAGAAATGTTGGAAGTAAAAGTTGTCTTTCTTGAATAATAACCTATTTAAGTAGTACAAATAAATCACTAGACTAAGTGATTTAATTTTATTGTAGCTTTAAATATACAATATAAGGACATCATTCGTAAATATAGCTCAACATGCAGACTTCTTATACGTTCAGGTATTTCACATCCAATTTTTTATGGAAATATTCTTTATAAAGCACAAAAATGTCAGTATTCACCTCTGAAGCTAACAAAACCTTTAAATAGACTTATTAAGAAGGGATATAGTTACGATACTGTTGTCAGGTCATTAAAGATTGCATATTTTGGCGTTAATATTGATTCACTTATAGGGTCTTTGCATCGGCACTAAACACATTTATTTTAAAAACCAGTTGTTGGCATGACACGGGTTATGTTCTTCTCATATATGTTATGATGGTATGATACTAAACCCCTAACAGGAAGGATTGTGCCTGATATTCATATGATGAAGACATAATCTTTCAATCAGTTTAATTGAAGTCTGGAGCTGGCATGTCAGTTAACTGCTAGTAGGCTGTTGTTATTTATGTATTATTGTCATTTTGTTTATTTTCTTTGGTTACATCTTCTGACATCAGACTCTGACTTCTCTTGAACTGAATTTTAATGTGCGTATTGTTATGCGTTTACTTTTCTACATTGGCTAGAGGTATAGGGGGAGGGTTGAGATCTCATAAACATGTTTAACCCCGCCGCATTTTTGTGCCTGTCCCAAGTCAGGAGCCTCTAGCCTTTGTCAGTCTTGTATTATTTTTAATTTTAGTTTCTTGTGTACAATTTGGAGTTTAGTATGGCGTTCATTATCACGGAACTAGTATATATATTTGTTTAGGGGCCAGCTGAAGGACGCCTGCGGGTGAGGAAATTTCTCGCTGCATTGAAGACCTGTTGGTGACCTTCTGCTGTTGTCTGTTCTATGGTCTGGTTGTTGTCTCTTTGACACATTCCCCATTTCCATTCTCAATTTTAATACTAATGATCCAGGGACTAATTATGTTGCTAAAATTATCAGAACCGACATCTGTGTTTATAGGATGACAGGTCATGTCAGGTGATGACCTTATACTGAATTTGGGATAATGACATGAAAATCACTTGTTTAAGTATCATACCTCTTTTCTCTTCCAAAAAATCACTTCTTTAAGTATTATTATATTAATTACCCCCACTAATTTCAACACCCCCGAACAGTGAAATTTTGATCGGGACCAGTAAAATTTTATTACATAATCTGTTGGATGGAACCTTGAATTTTACAGGAAAAATACTCCCACTTCTGGAAAAATCTGTTAAGAAAGTATTAGTTCATTATGTAAAGCTTTCATTATAGCATTTTTTCAACAAATATAGAATTTACAGATGAATGATTGCATCAAGGGCATCAACCTTGCTACTTAAAAGAAGCAAAAGGTTCATTTTTTTCAATTTTACTAATGATAAACATGTTAAATAAGTGATTTTATAAATCACTTATTTCAGTAATTCCCCTTACTGCTTCTTCTGGTCTCGTTTGTCACAGGACGTTGAGTAAAATAAAGGAAGGAGCATCAAATTGTTTCCCGTAAATTTGTTGTTTTTGACTACTGAAAGAATACTGCCAGCTAAACAATTAAATTAAATGCCTTACATTTTAGAATGAGTCTGGAGCTTATTAAACATACGATTCTAAATCAGTGTTCTCTTGGGAAACTCACCTGATCAATCAGTTAGATTTCAGTATCTCATAAGAATAACAAGCCGACTTGGTACATGTACATGTATCTTCAGCGTTTTATAACCATTTCATTTTCATAATTCTTTGATACAAAAAAAATGTTATCTGATGATAGTGTCTCTTTGTTTACATTGCAAATGACATCACAACTACAATCCCTAACAACAGGACCAACGTTTCCGTATTATGGTTTCTTTTTCAACAGATTCTGAAGTTAAAATATGCTTGAATTAAAAAAATAATTTACATGGCCACAACTATGAATCCATAGAGGCTTAGTATTAGATCTTTCAACACAGTAACAGAGTAATGTATACCCTCGTCACAGGCCTCACTAATTAGCGACGAGAACTGTCAAGAAGAGACAACAAACGCCAAAAAGCGACAAGAATAATAATTTAGCGACAACAAAATAAATTTAGCGTCAAGATATGTCAGATATCTAAATAATGATTATTTGAAGTAAACATGGTAAATAGATGATAGATGTAGAAACATGCAGAAAAGTGTGTGAGGTTTTGTTTTTAAAAAAATGTGAATTTTCATTATTTCATGATACTGAGAAAAGAAAATTTTGTTTTAAATATATGTGAATTTTCATTATTTCATGATACTAAGAAAGGAAAATAAACATTCAGTGTTCATTTGTTCAAGAAAGAATTTTTTGTTATCAAGGATATGTTTAAATAGATTTATTTACAGTTTAGTGTATAAATGCATGAATCGATAATATGTAGAGTTGGCATGGTTGATATATCAAAGGTTCGAAACCAAATTATAAGATAATATAGTCTTTATTTATTTCACGAACAAGGTTGATATACTGTATGAGGGTCTTAATGGGGGTACCCTAATGACGATTAACTGTAAAAATTCTTGCCAAATGACGTTAACGGTAATTTTTGGTGCATGACGATAAAATGTACACTTTCTTTTAGACGATAAAAAAATCGACTGATTTTGACGAATCACGTTAAATTTTTTCCAAAAATAACGGTAACGATAATTATTTGAGACCTCTGACGAATCACGATAAGGATATTTTGACGAATCACGGTAAATTTTTAACCAATTTGACGCTAACGGTAGCCTAAAATGACTGTTTGACGCCTGAAGGTAAAGGGCATTACTACCCTCCTGTACAGTACATGTACACTACAGCTCGGGTGGATTTTGCTTTGTCCACCGGCCCACCATGGGAGTGGGCACCTGGTGGGCAAAATTTGTACCTTGTCCACTCTGCCCACCTGTAGGAGTGGGCATTCAATTTCTTTTGTTTCATCTAAAAACTTGCAAGTACAATCACTTGAAAAAAGCAGATAAGCATTTGTAATCAATATTTTTACAAAAAAGAGATTATAGCTAGAGTGGGCACGGGTGGACTGCCCACGGTGGGCCGGTGGAAAAAGCAAAATCCACACGGGCTGTTGTGTATATACATGATATATAGGATGGAACATGGGATTGTTAAAAAATGTTCAGATTGATACATACTTTAAAAAAATCATGTTATACAATACTTTTTACTAAAAATTTATTACAAGTCAACTGTAGTGTTATTAAATAAAACAAAATTTAAAACTTTATAAAACCGCAAATTATCAACTGTAAAGTTGTACTTTTTCTATAAACCTATTGTTTTAATAGTATGTAAATTTTCTAGTTGCTAAATTTGTCTTCTTGTCTCTAATTTTGTCTTCTGTCACTATTTTTCTTCTCTTTTTCTTCTTGTTGCTTCTTGATCCTGAAGTTTTGTTGTATAACTGAAGAAGAAGAAGAAGATGCTTCTTCAGTTCTTGTCGCTAATGAGTGAGACCGCCCTCGTCACTGGTGTTCGGATACATGTGCTAGAAAAAAAGGAGGTCTCCGAAATTGTAACATACTTCTCTTGAAGGCTTTAATTCTAGTCTCTCCTTGACAGCTGCATGTACCCTAATACTCTTCTGCGCTAAGTTTCCCAAGGTAATGGCTCCAGCAACCGTCAGAGTGCCAAGAATTCCACCTTTTAAGGATATTCTCATTGGAAAGAATTTTGATCTTGTTTGAAATGATCTATTTTGTATCTTTGAAAAATTGTCTCTGTTAGCTTGCCAAATTTGCGATTTATCGTTCAATAAACTGTGAAATTTTCTGTGAAAAGTTTTTCTCATGGGCGCAGCCATTTTTGTTATATAAAATGCATGATGCTCTTCGTAATAGAAAAATTGTATGCAATAAATATATATCCTATTTCAATCTGAAATATAAAACTAATTACATCTATTCATTATTTACTATTTTATTGTATTGCATGCATCAAATCATAAATTATATTTTTATTTTATGTAGGACTTCATTTAGGTGGTAAACAACTCGGCCCGAAGACAACTCGGACCGTCTACCAAAAAAAAAAAAGACAACTCGGAAGACAACTCGGGCCGTCAATAAGTCAACTCGGATCGTCTATGAAGTCATATCGGATCGTCTATAAGTCAACTCGGACCGTCTTATAAGTCAACTCGGATCGTCTATAATGCCAACTCAGACTAATAGAAAATGAAAGGATATGGAGTAAATGTACATGGGACAAAATCGCACACAATAGAAAACATAGACAATTATCAATGAACAGGGCTTTTATTCCTGTTCTTCATCTTGACAGTTGGTGTAGGGTCTTCAACAATGAACGAATCATTCATACCCTACAACAAGGTCAAGACGGCCTCTAGCGTCGACTTAAGCGATACTATTGATAAAAATAAACCACAGTTCACCTTCTTGCTCCCCACCCACCTCGGAGTGCCAACTTGTACGATGCTTGTGTACGACGGTTTTCCAGTCGAAAGCACCAGGGATACAAGAAAAGTGCAGTAATTTTGAAAGACATCGATCGCCGCTAAAATATGTCTTGAAGTTACACATGTCGGGAGCGGTTAATGAATTACATAATTTATAATTACGGGCGAGGTTTTTCAACATATATTTGTCATACATTGCCCAACAAAAGACCAATAATCAGTATAGAATTAGAGTACTAGTATTGACGAATTAACTGATTTAATGAAAAAGACTGTGTCTGGTTTTGTTTGATATATGTTTTATCCTCGATTATTTAGAATATATGTTATCAGTCCAAGCATACTCTAATTTCAAAATAAAACTATAACTATAATATATACATGCATATCTTTATTTCATCAAAGAAATCATTTCAAGTTAAGTAATTTACATATGATTTAAGCGCTAAGCTAAACCAGAGACATATATAATAAAATGATTATCTCTGGCAAAACCTAAGGCGTACACTAAATCAAAACAAGTATGTCATTCACATAAGATATATACATATGACATGTATGATTTGAGCACTAAGAATAACTTAAGACATATAATAAGGAATCCTATTATTTCAAAAGCACTAAAGTTAACAAGTACGATTCATCTCATAAGCTAGAAATTAATAGTTCATATATCCAAGCACTTAAGTTCTCGTTAAGCACAATGTAAAGTTAACCTTAGAACACTGAAAAAATGTAAACGGACGGTCCGTAAATACGGGCACACTTCTTCAGGAGGTGACTGACTGTCATGTCTTTGGTTGCATACTGACTCCATGCGGTAAACAGCATTCCTTGTGTTTGCGTTGTATGTTTTCTATGGAGTCCGCGGAGCGTTTCTTCGCTGACTAGTTTGCAATCCATTGGTGTTTTATTTGCTTCCTAGCTTGCACATAAGATGATGGAGAACGTAAAATTGGATGTTGTCTTTCTTTGCCTTTCCGTTGAGTCGGTGATGCCATCCTTCTACATCATTTTTGGTACGGACACTTCTGCCAAACACACTCAAGGATTGAACGGACCATACAGAGATCTGCAACCAGGTGATGTTGCCGAAGGAATATGACCTCTTGGAGTTGAAAAATGACCTCTTGGAGTTGAAAAAAATTGAATTCACATTATACAATATTTTTTTTATTATTATGTTTTGCAAATTCAGCAACATGCAAATTGTCTTGTAAACTTTTATAATCATTTATATAGTTCAAATCCCCCTTTTATAACTATGTATGAGTTGTCATTATAGACGGTCCGAGTTGACTTTATAGACGGCCCGAGTTGACTTATTGGACTACAATGCTGCAAAGTGTTTTTGAGGGCAAGGCCGCTGAAATTTTCTCAGCACTTTCTTCAGAAAAAATTTCTGATTATAACACGGTAAAACAGGAAGTTTTGAAAGCTTATGAGCTAGTGCCAGAAGCATTTAGACAGAAATTTAGGTCTTATAAAAAATTTGATTCACAAACCTATATTGTATGTTGAATTTGCTAGGGAAAAAGAAGATATATTTGATAAATGACTTACGTCACAGAAAATAGATAACAATTTTGATAACAATTAATGTTATTAGAAGAGTTCAAGCAGTGTGTTCATTTAGACTTAAAAACACATTTAGATGACAAAACTGTCGAGTCATTGCAAGATGCAGCCGATGCTGTTTCCGACAATTATACCCTTTCACATAGAAGAAGTTTCAAAGGTCAAAATTTTAATTCTTCGAGCGGAAATTACAAATATCAAAGTTTAGTAAGCCTGTTGCACAGAGTAAGAGTCAGTCTAGTTATAATATGTCTACTCCAAAATTTGATCCTTTTGAGAAGAAGTCACTAACGTGTGCTTATTTTAAGAAAAATGGTCACCTGATGGCTGATTGTTTTAGACTCAAGAAGAAGAATGAAAGAGATAATAAACCCAAGTCCAGTGCTTGTATGACACCCCTTGTTACCAATAAGTTGGAATGTCCTACGAGTCAGGCTTTTAAGTCAAGTTTTTGTGATTACATGGAGGATTATAAACCTTTTATGTCTGATGGGTTTGTTTCTATTGCTGATAATACTACTCCTCAGCCCATTAAGATTTTACGGGACACGGGAGCTTCTCAGACTTTGTTGTTAGAAGGTGTGTTGCCTTTGTCCGAGGAGACTTCTGTTAGTGCCTCCGTTTTGTTACAGGGTGTGGAGTTAGGTTGTATTATTGTTCCCCTCCATCGTATTTATCTGAAGTCAGATTTAATTACTGGACCAGTTGTGGGTATTCGTTCTAATCTCCCTGTTGAGGGTGTTTCATTATTGCTAGGAAATGATCTAGCTAGGAACAAAGTGGTTGCTGCACCAATTGTTACCAGTGAACCGGTGGTGGATGTTAAATCTCCTGAAGATGATGCTGAACTGTATCCAGCTTGTGTTGTTACTGGGGCGATGGCAAGAAAACAACAAAATGAGGATTTACAAGTAGACCAGGATAATTATATGGACCTTTCTGACACTTTCCTTGTCGACATTGAAGATCCCGGTAGCTCAGAAAAGGCCATAATAAGACCACCTAGTACTAACACGCATGTAATTATGCCATGGCCAGACGTCAACAGCCATTCATTAGATAAAAGAAAGTTTGTGGATGAGCAACATAAAGATCCTGATGTTCTTCAGCTCCGCAGGAGGGCTCAACCACAGGAGGAAGCAGACAAAGTGGCCGAATGCTACTAACATCAAAACGGCATTTTGATGAGGAAATGGAGGCCACCTGATGCTATCCCGGAGGAGGAATGGAGAGTAGTATACCAAGTGGTGTTGCCTAAAGTCTATAGGCAAGAGATTATTGGTCTTGCCCATGTCACCCCCTTGGCCGAACATTTAGATAAAAGGAAGACTTTGTTTTTGTTGCAGTTCAGTGTTTCTGTTGTTCCGTTGTTTTCCTCTTATAGTTGATGTGTTTCCCTCGGTTTTAGTTTGTAACCCAGATTTGTGTTCTCTTAATCGATTTTTGAATTTTGAACAGCTGTATACTACTGTTGCCTGTATCTTACAATATTTCTACTGGCCCAGACTTAGAAATGATGTCATAGAATACTGCAAATCATGCCATATATGCCAGGTTGTTGGCAAGCCTAACCAGAAAATACCACCAGCACCACTTCTTCCAATTCCAGCCTTTGAAGAACCTTTCAGCCGAGTACTCATTGATTGCGTTGGACCTTTACCGAAGACCAAGACTGGAAATGCGTATTTATTGACGATCATGTGTACATCCACTCGCTTTCCTGAGGCTATTCCGTTAAGGAATATCAAGACACCAACTATTTTCAAAGCTCTTATCAAATTTTTCACGTTAGTAGGACTTCCTAAATCCGGTTTCAAATTTCATGTTAGGTTTATTTCAGCAGGTCGTTTACCAGTTAGGGATTGCTCAGTATAGGTCAAGTGCTTATCATCCAGAATCTCAAGGTGCTTTAGAACGGTTTCATCAAACATTGCAGACCATGATTAGAACATTTTGTCTCCAATTTGACAGGGACTGGGATGATGGTGTTCACTTTTTACTTTTAGCGGTCCGAGAGGCTGTTCAAAAATCCCTTGGTTTTAGTCCCTTTGAGTTGGTGTTTGGTCATACTTTAAAGGGGCCTTTGAAATTGGTTAAGGAAAAATGGCTTTACTGAACACACTGACTTGAATCTTGTAAACTATGTATCAAGATTTAAAGAAAAATTGTATACTGCTTGTCTAATTGCTCAGAAAAACTTAAAAATTGTTCAGAATAAGATGAAAATATTGTATAATAAAGATGTCAGGGACAGAGTTTTTGAGCCTGGTGATAAGGTACTTGTATTTTTGCCAGTCCCTGGACATCATTTACAGGCTTAATACTGTAGTCCTTATACAATAGAGAGTAAAATTAATGATTTGAATTATATTGTAAAAACACCAGGTCGGCGTAAACAAAATAAAGTGTGTCACATTAATATGTTAAAACCATATTTTGAACGTGCTAATGAAGGTGAGAGAAAACCAGTTGCCACCTTAATCATGGTTGAATTGGAGAACGATCATGACAAACCAGATATAATTGAACCATCTTTTGATTCTAAGACTATGGAGGAAACAATTAGATTGAAAAATTCAGAAATTTTGTCAAATCTGGACTCAAAACTTGCACATCTGACTTTTGATGGCAGAGAAAAATTGAAAACTTTGGTAATTTCTTTTAAAAATCTTTTTCCAGATGTGCCAAACAAAACCACTGCTGTTTGTCATGGTGATGATGTAGGCGATGCTTCTCCAATTAAGCAACATCCTTACCGGCTCAATCCACTAAAACGTGATTTTATGAGACAAGAAATTAGATATATGTTTGACAA